GCGGCGTCGTCGCGATTTCCACGGTTTTTGCGACTTTTTCCCGCACAGAGTCGCGTTTCGGACTTTTCACCTCCCCGCCGAATACGTATTCGCGTTCCCCGCTAAATTTATAGTCGTTTCAAAAACGAGTCCCGGGGACGAGCGGCGACGCGGAAACGAGAGTAGGTACATTATAGGTATCGCTATATACAGGCATAAATACTTTTTGAGTTCAATTTTTTTCGCGAATCTCACCGATTTGAACGTCCGAAGCCGGTCGAGACGGTCGTCCGCTTCCCCACGCGGTCGATCCCCCCGCTCGGACGACCTTCGGGGGACGCAGACGCCGTTTTGGGTGGACGGCGACGCGGCTTAACACTTTGGTTACGAACCACGCGTCAGATGCGTGTTATACTTTAGCGTAATATACACGATGCATTGTATTACAAAAATAACATTGCGGACGAATCACGTACTGAGCGCGTGACATTATAGTTATTTATAATAAACGATGGTTTATAGTTATTGAATTACGTTTCGGACCAATCACGCGCCAAACGTGTCATGTCATTTGTACTGATAAAAGACGAAACACGTGTTAGACGCGTTTTTCGATTTCCAATATCGATATTAAATACAGAATTTCTCCTATAATTTTCATTCATTTCTTAATCGATAGTAAAAATAATATCGATGTTTAGGATTTTTCTAAAGAATAATTATTAACCTACAATATTTCTGTTCATTCGATTCTTGACTGCGCATTGCCGCGCCGCGCCGTGATAATAAATAATATTCGTGACATTGTGATTGTGATTGAGGAAGTACCTACTTTTTGATAACATTTCAGTTTATTTACTATATTGCTGTATTTTATTATAATAAGTTTAAGTAATAAGTAATAAGTTTATTACATATTTTAAACTATGGATGACGCAGATATAACCCTCGAAGACGAGTTTTTTGATGATAGTGGCTCTGAGTTTGATGATGTTAACTGTATTGAAAGTGATGAACCAGTTTATACCGATCTTTTACCTGTAGTCGAACACTTTGGTAATATTTATAATGAATACTCCGAGAACTTAGTCGTCGTTGATAATAATATTTCTAATGAATATTTGAATATAAGTGTGTTGGAAAATAACTTAGCCGTAAATGAAAACGAACACAATTCGGAAAACGCAGCTAAATTATGGGGGTTTGCAGACTCTTTTGAAGAAATGCCAAATACTGCAAGTCCTGTTAATTTAGTAGTAGTTAACAATCGTAAAAATCAGAATAGACCTAAAGTAAGCAGTAGTGTTAGAAATAATCGTATTCGGAAGGGTTTAACAGAAGAATATAAATGGAAAGTAAAAAATACTAAACCGAAATCTCATGTATTTTCGTCTACACCAAATATTTCAACTTCTTTGTCAGCACAATCTAATGAATTAGATTTTTTTAAATTATTTTTCCCTGATCATATTATAAAAATGATTAAAAAAGAAACAAATAGGTATGCTTATACAACCATTCAAAAATTAAAAAGAGCAAATAAACTTAAGCTCAATTCTGTATGGAATAAATGGTTACCCGTAAAAGAGTGTGAAATATATTATTTTTTTGCAGTAATTTTGCATATGTGTCTTATACCAAAACCTCAACTTAAGAACTTTTGGTCTCAAAACACCGTAATACAAAGTTATTTTGCTCCAAAAGTAATGCCACGAGACCGTTTTTTATCAATATTATCCATGTTGCATTTAGTTGACAACAATAAATATGTACCAAGGGAAAATATAAATCACGACAGATTATTCAAAATACGTCCATTTTCCGATTTTTTGAGTAAGCAATGTTCAAAATTTTACAAACCAGCTCAAAATTTAACAGTAGATGAGGGGATCTGTCCATTTAGAGGAAGAATTAGTTTTAGAGTTTATATGAAAAACAAACCTCAGAAATATGGTATGAAACTGTATATATTATCTGATCCTGAAACCGGATATACATTAAATTTTGAAATATACTCGGGTAAAGAACAGCAGGATAATTCAATATGTGCGTTGTATGATAGACTCTTGCGTGATTATTATTATAAGGGCCACACAATTTATATGGACAGGTTTTATACGAGTCCTTTAGTTTTAAAACACCTCTGGAATAAACAAACTAATGCAGTCGGTACAGTCATGTCAAATAGGAAAAATTTACCAAAAGATTTAATTAAACAAAAATTATTAAAAGGTGAAATTACTTTTGCTAGATGTGGTCCTCAAATGTTCCTGAAATGGAAAGATACAAGAGATGTATTAGTTATGTCGACAGTTCATAATGCTGATTTAGCTCCGGTAACCGTGAGAAGTAAAGTTGGGCCCTTAGAAAAGTTTAAGCCACAAGTGATTATTGACTATAACAAATATAAAACAGGTGTCGATCATGGCGACCAGATGATTGCATATTACCCTTTTAATCGAAAAACAATGAAATGGTGGCAAAAAATGTTTTTCCATTTATTTATGGTCAGTACAGTGAACAGTTTTATTCTTCACAAAAAAACGAAAAATGTCAAAAACGAGAATTTGAGACTCAGAAACTTCATGATAAATTTGGCTTCGCAGTTAGCAAATCAATCAGATTCTTACCCACGATTTAATGAAGTTTCAAACTCGGAGAACCGTTTAAAAGGTCGTCATTTTATTTCTAAAATTCCTCCTACTTTGTCAAAAGCACATCCAAGAAGGGTATGTAAAGTTTGCGCTGAAAAAGCTAAGCGTTCTACAGGAAATCGAGGAAGAAAAGAAACATCTTATTATTGTAGTTAGTAGCTGTAATACACCACTATGTGTTGACGAATGTTTTGAAATTTACCATACCAAACAAAACTATTGGATGTACATTTATTTTTAATTAATTATATTTTATATTTGACACGAAGGTACGTGTTACATTACTTTATAGTAATAAGTATGTATTTCGTTTTTGTTATAAAAAGGATTTTATAAGTGTTATGTTTTACGTTTTTTTTATTATTATTTGACTATAATTTTTTGAAAGGTTTTAATTATGTTATAATTTTTTTCATTACCTATCACAAGTATATAATTATAAACAAATTATATTTATATTTATATGAATATTAAATAACAAAGAATTTTAATAAACAATAAAATAAACTTGATACATTTTTTTCTTTTTAATTATATTTAACTATGTATAAATACATATGAGTGTTCAAGTTAGACTTTTTTTTTGTATTAAAACAGTATAACTTTGATATCTCATAGGTGAATGACATTTTTACAAAAGTAATATGTGACTTATATGTGCGTATAAAGTAACACATCAATAATTATATGAGAAAAAAGATAATAAATCTGATAACAATTAAAAAAATTGTAATTTTTTGAAAAATTAGAAAAAACCGCCGGATAACGATAAATAATGGCGAAAAAATCATTTGTCCACATTTAGCATAATAAGCATCACGCGCTTAGCACGTGATTCGTCCCCAACGTATTTTTCAGATAATATTGTTCAGTCTATAATTCATAATCCGGTATCACGTGTTACACACGACATTCGTCAGTAACGTAATTTTTTCAATATTAACTGTAGTCCTCAAAGTGTTAAGAGTCGTAGATTTGACTCCAGTCGTCATCTCGATAGGCGGTTAGGTAGGTGTAGGCATAGTACTAATAACTCGGGGTCCTGGGTTCGAACCCGTCCCCCGGCGACGTCGATAATTTGCGGCGGCCGTGACAATTCGAAATGTTTTTTTTCGTCTCTTCGCATCGGTTCCGTCTTATCATATTTAACGAATTTGCTCCGTATTTTTTTCAAAATTCGAGTTTATTATCATGGACTTCCCCGTCCAAGACTTATTCGCGTTACCTTAATAGGTAGTATTTACATGTATAAATATTTAATTATGCAGTTTATTATTATGACTATACTAATTAAACTATTTAATAAATAACAATAATAATAATTAATACTTGATTTTATTATCTACATATTTACCATGACCAACGCACCTATATTTTTTAAAAGGGCTTCATTGTATATTTCTTTTATATTTGAATAGACAATAGTACAATATAACTAACCTACATGTATACTTTGTAGTACCTACTACCTACTTATAAAAGGTATATTACAGTTTTTTTAAAACAAAATACAACTTAATGTAAAAAATTAATTTCTGGCAGGTAAATTGCATAATGATATGACTATACTATACTAATTAAACTATTTAATAAGTAATACTTGCTTTTATCTACACATTTACCATGACCAACGTATGTTGTAAATGTATCTTTTATAGGTACTTGATTGAATAGAAGTACAATATAACTAACCTTATATTACATTTTATTACATTTCATTATTTTACATTTTACAAGCATATTATGTATGTACATGAATTAATAGTGAAATGAGTACATATTTTGGTCCATTGGTCTAAAAGTTTCAGCGAAGTACTATTTACCATTTATATTTTTGGTATTGGTACACCTACTTACCATATAAAATATGATTTTTTGTAACAGTTTGCATTGTGTGTAAACAGTAGATCTAATAGAACTGATTGAATTCTGGCAGTTAAATCATACAATTATATGACTACCTATAACGATATATTTATTATAATATACAATGTAGTAGGTACTTGGTATATTATGGTTTTTAGGTGAGTCAAATAATGTAAACGCAGTTCTGTGGTTTGATCTATAACAAACGACGTGCGATTATTTATACGGTTAATAATTACGAACGTCTCTTCAATATCAACGATACACACAATGCAACAGTATGACCATTAATATTATTATCAATTGATTCGGGTGGGTTGGTGGAGTGGTGACGTGCGGGGGACAACTTTTCGTTGTATCTTTGTCATATTTTGACAGCCAAGAAGGTTTTACAATGTTGATCCTGGGTTGTTTTGAATTTGAACTGTAAGAACCATCGCAGGAAGCGAGTTTGATCCCCCCGGGCTAATGTATTATGTACTTTAATAGGCTTTTGCAAAGACAATTCTCACTTATAGCTGCCCACCACTGTGTCCGCATACCTGATATGCCGCGTCCCACATTGTCCGTTATCCGACAAAGATGACTAAGTTAAACGTGAATCTATTTCCACTGGACGTGACTGACTTGCTAGACATTGAAATAAATCTTTGATATTTACGATTTTTGACTTTCATAAAAGCACAAGACAGGACCGTCTAAACTATCAAGTCCTGATATCGGTATTCACCTTCAGCGAATAGTACAGAGGCCTTCATTACTGACGGAGCGAGTTACACCGAGAGACCAATGCAGGCAGGCCCATATCGTCGGCTATGCGACGCAGTCGGATGGCTTACTTAGNATTTACTAAATGATTTTGAATCTGAAGTAAGTGTTATTTAATAAATAATAGGTAATATAATTAATAATAAAAAACAAACCTAATAACTTAACTTAGACAATCTTATAATATTTACCATCATATTTTTCTTAGTGCACACAGAGTAATAACATTGTCGAGGAAGATTGCTTAGAGTATGTATCTGGTTATGTTGCTCATCGTTTTGCAAATGAATTCCCATGGTTGGCAAAAGGTACATGTTCCACAGCAGATAGTGAAAATTCTAAAACTTGGACAGAACAGATCTCTAAAGGAAATTTAACAATACCTTCCGATCAGCTGTTCAAATCTACAAAAAGATTGGAAGATCTGTTTAATAAATTTCATGGGAATGGTTTAAGCAAAGAACCAAAAATTATTAAGACAGTCACTGAGATGCTACTTAAGAGAGATGAAAATCATGTTGTCAACTTGCCACTTAAGGTTGCAGAATGTCTTGTTCGTACAAGAACATTTATCAGGCTGAATTATCTAAATAAAAAAATATCGGAATTAGCCACAAAAAATAAAATTGAAAAACAAAGAAAACTAAAAAAATTTGGTGTTTTAAAATAAATAAAAAGATAATAATTTATGGTTTAGTTTAAAGTTTAGAAATATATGATTATCTATTTACTCAAAAATTGCTCATTTTAATATTCAAGTAAGTTCCTTTACTGCTAGGTATATCCTAATTGTACAGCTATTGGATAGTAAACTTCAGAAATAGTCTTCCCATCAGAGGTTTTAACAACCACAACCATTACAGAAAATATCTGGATAGTACTTAGTACATTTTTAAAAAACATCAATCTAAGACTTACTTAGAGTTGTTGATCCATGCAAAATGTTTTCCATTTAGACTGAACAACATGAACTAGTATGTCGATGAAATGTAGAGACTGTATAATATGGGGATTCGCTCTGATACAGTGTACAACCATGGTTGGAATTTCAAACATTTTGTATAATTTCAAAGTTTTATAGTTTAGTAGTTTACACGAATCCCAAACAACAATTAACAAATGTTTAACTATGTTTAAATCATGACAAATTAAATTTGTCATGGTTTAAATAAAAATTAATAATAGCAGATTAGAATGACAGCATGTTATTAGATAACAGGCTCGTAGGTGATAATATTTTTGTTGCGCACATGACGTCAGAGTCATGCGTATCAAAGCTGCGTGATCATACCTGAATATTTCTATCATGGTTATGACATTATAATCGAAATAATAAAATAATATTTTGATCATAATATGATTATTATGTTATCAAAAACAAAAACTACATAAATTAATAAAAAAATATATAATGTTCCAAAAATGAGTTTATTCAAGTGTTATTGCACAATGTTGTAGTTACTATTCAAATAATTTTTATAACATATTATATTATATTAAAATGGATACCTCCCTATAATAATATAATTTAATTTAAATAATATTTTGCTTAATAATAAATTATCATCATAATTTTCTATATCAATTTTCAGGTCATATTCAGTATGTCCTTTATTATTCGAATGGTTATTCGAAAGTTTATACGATTAATCGAACATTAATCAATAGTACAAATAATTATTCGTTACCAACCTGCACCCATCACTAAATATAGTAATCATATTATTATAAACGTAGATTATTATCGATAATAATTATTAGGATATTTATAGATATTTTAAACGACAATAACACTGACAACAGCGTGGATTTTCCTAATTCGTGATATAGTCGTCGAAATACACGTCTTAACCAATACTATAGCGCAGCACCGATAAGCCGTACTGCAGATACAGCCAACTGCCATAGATTCAATGAGTAAATACTAAAATAGTAATCGTTCATTATCCGATTATCGGCAGCGACGTAGTTATTCTATTCTATGGCAGCGACGCAGGACGGCAGCTTGAAAATACAAAGCATTATAATTTATAATATTTTGTTTCCATGATCGAAAAATCATTCAATTTTCTAAGTTGTTTTCGTATATAACTAAAACTGTTCGCTGTTAATCATCTACCTATATTATATTTATTTAAAATTTGTGCATTAAAGTGCCTACTGCCTATTGCATTGTGGGATTGCTGTCCTTCGTTTCTTATAGGTAAGTGATCAAGGTTTTAAGTTTTGTATAGTTGTTTTATATTAAATAGGTTATTTAGATGTAAACTATAGATGTAACTCAATACTTTTTATCTAACATATTTTACCATAAATCAACCCTATACCTAGTTATTACTAGGCATTTAAGTACTTTTAAATTATATACAGAATTGCATATTATATTAATAAATAATAGGTAATCTGCAATTATTTTATAAATACATGTACCAATGTAGTTAATATCTATAGCCATTTATTAATATCTATTTAAACAATATATTTAATAAATTTAAAATTATTTAAAGTGTGGCAGTTTTATTATTTTAATATTTACTATATTTCAGTAAAATATGTGGTCAGTTGTAAATTTTTCTGATGATAATGGAGTTGCAGTTGTGCCATCATTTTGGGCCAAAGAAAATAAATCTGCTTGGCCAAAAAAAAACGCAAATCACTTTATAAAACAAAGATTAGTACCAAATAACTATGATTTTGAGTATTTATTGTTGAATGTAAACAACACACCCTGTATTATATAGATTATAAGCAAATTATTCACACTGTAGTACAGCAGACGCTGAATAGGCATTTTATATTTCTATAGCGTATTCGTTATATGTACTAGCCTGTAGGACGATTAGTCGTTGTTTTATATTACGCATCGGAGCACTATAGTTATTCATATCAATTATACATATTATTATATTATTACATATCATATCCGATCTTACATTTATTTACCTTTAGCTTCTGTATATCTGTGTACTTCAACAG